CCCAAAATAAGCTTCCTGCTTTAGTTCCTCGGTGTCTGGCTAGGCAACCAGACCGCCAATGCCTGGACAGCGATCACTTTGGCCACTGAAGGCCCATCTCTGGCATTCTTGCTCAACTCGTCAGCCTCTTCGTGTTCTCGTCAGATGCTCTTGCCGTGGGGTCAAGTTTGAGCTGAGACCTCAGAGCGTTTCAGTTCCTCACCAGAGCCCCCAGAGCCAGCATGAGAACAGCGCACGCCAATTTCCTATGGCGACTCTTGGTTCTCTAAATGTCTGCTACTTTTGAAGGAAGAAGATTGAGTTTCATCTGTATTGAGTAAGAGGAGCGTAAGCTTAAAAGTATTTTATGTTTCCATCACAGTTTATTCTGTTTAGCATAAATCACCAGAGCCAACCACAACTTCCCACTGACTGGAGCTTTCTCGGTCAGTCGTATTACGTGCGTGTCAGAGACACCTTCCCACAAGTCCCTCAAGGTCCGTAGTTTAGTTGTCAACTTGACACAATGTGCAATCACCTTCCAAGAGTCTCGGTGAGGAATTACTAGATGAGGTCAGTCTCTGGGCATACCTGTGAGGGACTTCCTTTAAGTGGGATCATTGAGCTGGGGTGACCCATGCTGAATGTGGGTATCACCGTTCCCTTTATGGGTCCTGAATCATGTCAGCGGTGGGAAAGGGAGCCGAGCAGTGGGCACACATGCATCCATACTCTTTCTGCCCTCGGCAGGCTGCCTTGACTTTCCTGAAATGACAGACTGTAGCCTGGAATTGTAAGATTAACAAGCCCTTTCTCCCCTAGGTTGGCATGTGATTCATGACGCTCAGAATTGCATGCACTTTAAACCTTAGGAATTGTCTCTAGAATTTTCCACTTAATTTATCTCAAGCCTTTAACAATGAGAAAATGACATTGTGTGAAAGTAGACACTTTTCATTATTTGGACTCAAATGGATTAGTCCTTTTTTTTTGTTTTGTTTTTGCTTCTATTTCATCTTTTTTTGTGGTCCATGCTATCAAGAAACAGCAGGCAATGGCAGTTCATTTATTATAGTTTAAAGACTGTCTCCAGTGATGACAAACTCAGATTCTTTTGTCTAGAGTAATATTTTGGTCAAATGCCTAAAACAGTTCTTTTTGTTTGGGTATTTTCTTCCCTCCGAAAGCCAGAACGAGAAGACGCTGAGCGTTGGGATGCCTGAACTGCAGAGAGCAGACTGTAGTCAGACGGTAACATGCACACCCGCAAACGGCCATCTCAGACCTCTCATCTCACTTTATGACCAAACTATAATTACATTACAGTGATGACTTGGATATTACATTTTTATCACGGTTATGTCATGACGTCTACTAGGAAAAATATATGCCTACTTTAACCAATAAAATTCTTAATGACTCAGTTAAGCTGTGTCTACATGAAACCCATGACTTAAGCGTTGGGGTCAAAACAATTTTTAGGGCCTGGGGGAAGCAGAGAGTTAATCCCCATCTACCTGACTGCCTCAGCCTCCAGAGGAAGATGTGGGTTGTGTGATATACTTCTAGAGGTTAAAATGTTCCAGGCTGGGTGACTCAGGGAGTCGTAAGTGTTGTGTTTAAAAGCTGAATGTATAAAGCCATCTTCAGTCGGCCAATTCCAGCTGGTAACCAAAAAGTGAAATGGGGCGCCCGGGGGGGCGGGGCGGGGTATGCTAATGAGGGTGGGTGCATGCAAATGAGGCCTAATTTATGCAGATTCACCCCTGCATGCAAATCTATGCAAATGACGGCGGCCATATGCAAACGAGGCCTGGTTTATGCAGATTCGGCTCCTGCATGCAAATCTATGCTAATGAGGGCTGCGTGTATGCAAATGAGGCCCGGTCTATGCAGATTCGCCCCTGCATGCAAATCTATGCTAATGAGGGCCGCGTGTATGCAAATGAGGCTCAATTAATGCAGACTCACCCCTGCATGCAAATCTATGCTAATGAGGGCAGCCTTATGCAAACGAGGCCTAATTTATGCAAATCTAGCCCGCCGTGACACTGTGCCCGGCATGCAAATGCATGCAAATGAGGGGACGTCCATGCAAACGAGCCCTGCGGCATGCTAATATATGCTAATGAGGCCCGGCCCATGGGCGGTATGCTAATGAGTCCGGGTCAAGTTCTCACTTATCTCCGGTTGGCCAATTCCAGCTGGTAACCAAAAAAGTGAACCTGGAGTGGGGGGCAGGGCTGGAGAGAGAGAGCAACAATTAAGAGCATTTGCCTGCTCTTCCCCAGGACCCGACTTCTTCCCAGCACGGATGTCGGCTGTCTCACAGACATCTGTTAACTCGAGCTCTGGTGGATCTGATGCCCTCTTCTGATCTCTATGGGCGTTTCATTCATGTGCATGAGCGCACACACACACACACACACACTCACACACACACACACACACACACACACACACTCACAGTAGGAGAGTGGGGGAGAAAGAAGGGTTAAGAATCATAAATATTTTTTTTAAATAGAGTAAGGAACAAAGAAAAAGTACTGGTGTCTCATTCTACCGATGTTTAGAGGCCAAATTTTGTGTCTCCAAAAGGCCAGTGGGACCCAACAACGGCCCAAAGGTTCTTATAGACCAGCTAGGCTAGACGTTGTAGTTTTATTGTCGTTAGAAGCCACTGACACACTAACAGGCACACTGGAGACGCGTCCTAAAGTTGCTTTCTGGCGCTTCTTAGACCCTCGGCCCTCACAGTTTTATGTGCTGCAGGCCAAACTTGCCGAGAATTCCAGGCTGTGAAATGCTACGTATTGTTGGTGCGTGTATCTGTGTGGAGAGACTGTGGGAACCTCTCTGGTCATATCCACTCTCTTAGCTATCGCCTATGTATCCCTTCCCCACGCTGGGCAGCCCCAGACCTGCCTAGCATGCTGGCTGGCTTTGGAATAATTCTACACTCCAAGAGCCAGATGCTTGAGTTTTGAGGGTTTACCATCTAAGCTGTTGTGAGCAAAAATAGCCAGGTTTAACTACTTCTGATTTTTTTTCCTACATATATTTTTAATCCCCCAATTTGTGGTGCATTGATAAAACAGACATTTTCTTCTAAGAAAACGAAAGTGGCTAACAGGTTTTGCTAGCAAGTCTTTGCTAACAGGTTTTCCCGAGGTAAACCAAGCCCAGAACTTGGTTTCTGCATCAGTGGAAAAAGAAAATCCTTCTGCACCTTTGAGGCTCCGGATTCCTGGCTTTGAACCCACTGCGTATTTGTTAGAGACCATCGCTAACTCACTGCTGCCCACACTGGACAGTTTGACGCTATACTTATTTCCATTCACCCATGTCTGCTGAGGGTCCCCACGGCCACTCAGGCCCAGTCCCTGCTCCCTTGCAACCAAACCTGCCATGATACCCAACTTTATTAGTGCTATATTTCTGCACGTGGGCCCTTTCTAATCACTAGAATAATGCCAGGACCCTCCCTGTCACTCCTCTGTGTCCCTTCAATGACACTTTTATTTTCCTGTCCCCTTTATGGGGCTTGGCAGCACGGACCAGCAGCTCGGAGCCCTTGGAACCGCATACTCTGGACAGTGATCAGCTAATGCCCACTGTGCCTAGAGACGGCCCAGCACTTCCTTCAGCTAGCCCAGCCCCAGACAAGTCGGTTACGGTTGCTTCCTTCTGCTCAGCAAACCCCAGGGAAGCCCCAGCCTGCCTCACAGCTCAGTGGCCTGGGGATGCCAGCAGGCATCCGAGTCCACTCCTGGAGGCATCTCTGGCAAATCAACAAACCAGGAGAGAGGAGTCTCGTTCTAAACTGGCCCCTTTACAGCCCTGCATGCTACCTTGGCAGATCCCACAGGGGGAAAATTTCACTGATGGTTGCAATAAATCATGTTTATCTAACCTCAAATGGGGATTGCTTTCCCATTAGAGATTGCCTCTCACACACTAATACTGTGTTATTCGGAATTCTAAGTCTACCAAAGACATGACTAGCATGCTATTTGGGCGTGCTATCCCATCTTCCTGCTCCAAAAGCATGGCCAAAGGAAGAGCCTCCCTGGCTATTAATAGTTCTTATATTGTTTTCCACAGCGCCCTCATCCCCCTGCTCTCCAGGTGAGGAAAACAGTGCTGGAAGAGATCAAATCGAGGCCAAGAGCTTTGTGATGAAACTCTATCAGGATTAGAATCAGGGTCTTCTGATATCAAGGTTCTGTGATCGGTCAGGGCTGAGGAAAACCCTTAAGACAGCGGTCCTCACCCTTCCTAACGCTGCGACCCTTTGCTACAGTTCCTCATGTGGTGGTGACCCCCCCCCCCAACCAGAAAATGATTTTCGTTGCTACCTCGTAACTGTAATTTTGCTGCTGCTATGAATCCCAATGTCAATATCTGATATGCAGGATGTCTGATGGGTGACCCCATGGGGTTGAGAACCACCCATGGTCTAGTGCAGTGGTTCTCAACCTGCGGGTCACGACCCCTTTGGGCAAACCTCTAGCTCCACAAATATCTGCATTACCATTCATAACAGTCGCAAAAATTACGGTTATGGAGTAGCCATGAAAATCATTGTATGGTTGGGGGGGAGGTCGCCACAGCATGAGGAGCTGTGTTCAAGGGTCACAGCACCGGGAAGGGTGAGAACCACGGCTGCAGGAGATGACCCTCCACGCCCATGGGCAGCGGCAATTGGAATCGGGAGGCTGGCAGGGGGAGCAGGAGAGGTAGGTCATGGAGTCGGGAGAGGGTAGAGTGGATCTGGGAGGAGTTACGGGGAGGATTGGGAGTGAATGTGACCGGAGACATTCTATGCATGAATGAGATTCTCAAATATTAATTAAAAATATGGCTTTTGACAGAAGAGGGAGGGAGTGCTCTGTGGCGGGGCAGGAGGGGCCCCCAAATGATCCCGATGGGTCCCAGCCTCTCGGTATCCCCATCTCCTTCAAGTCTCCACCTAGGACACTAGGGATGTAAGCCCCTCCAGGGCAACATAAAAGTAACAACAGTATTAATATGTCATAAAAATATAATTATACATTATAATTAAACCCCGGCAGTTTACATTCATCATGCTCTTTTGCTTTCTCCCAAGCCAGAGGAAAATGCTTTTGCACGTTGTGTTGAGGTTCAAGGAATTAAAAGTTGCTGGTACTGACCGTGGCCTGTCACTATGTTCTGATGATGGAATGAATGGCAGAGGAAACCAGAGAATGGGCTTGAACCTTCTGGAGTGGAAAAAGGAAAGGAGAGGGTGTTTAAAATGACTTAAGCTAGTACATGTAGGAAATGCATTCATATTTAAAGTTCATTCAATCTTTGCCACGGCGGACGGATGCCACGACTCCTGTTTTATAGACGGAAATGTGAGGTGCGGAGGGGTAAAGGCCACACAGATGGAGCCCTGGAGACAAACAGGGAGTTCCATGGCTTCCAGACAGAAGTGGGATTTTAGAAGCAACTGTACATGTCAAAATAAAAAAAAAACCGGTCTCCCCCCCACCCCCCCAGGGCCTGGAGAGACAGGTCCTTCAGTAAAGCGCTTGCCATGCAAGCGTGAGAACCGGACTTGGATGCCCAGCAGCACACGCAACAACCAGATGTGCACAGCACGCCCTTATAATCCCAACACTGGAAAGCTGGAGACTCAAGAACCCTTGGGACTTGTCAGCTAGACAACCTCGCCCATCTGACAGGTTCTGGGCCGGTAAGCAGCCCGGTTTCGATAGAGGTAAATGGTGTCTGGGAAGTAACACCAAGGCTGTCCCTTGACCTCAATGTACACATTCGTGTGCGCACGCATAAGCATGCACCCACATGCACACGCCCAGGCACAGACAACACACAGTAACATCTGTCTACTTGCAATGACAAGGTAAGCAAATGCTAGAAGATGGCGAAGTTCTAGGTGGAGAAGCTGAGAGAGTGCTCAGTGGTGACCACGTCAGAAATCGGTGCCGAAGCCCACCTGGAGCAAGCCTTCCCGGTACTGTTGATCCAGAGCTCAGGAAAGCAGATGCAGTGGAACCCCCTGGGGAATCAGCATCTGGTCAAGGAATGATCAACGCCAAATGGCGGCATTTGCTGCCGTGGGTCCCAGGAAGCTCTCGACAGGCTTGCTTGCGAGTCCTCTTTTCTCTGAAAGCCTGATTTGCTTTCAGATTCTAAGGCCGTGAAACCTCTGGCCCCAGATCTGGCTCTTGAGGCCCTTAGAGACTCATGGCAATCAGGTCTCCTTTTCTGTGCATCGTACATGACAGGCTATGAAATCGCTTCTCGTCACAGAGCATCTCAACCTGCCAAGCCCTCAGCCACAGAACAACAAGGGGAGAAACAGACGCTTTGTGCTTTCTCAGCCGAGGAGAAGAGAGCCCCGCTCCGCAAATCCACAGTTAAATGTGTAATTATCTTTTTCAATTTTTTTTTAGCATTTATGCATGTATACATGTGTGGGTGTTCCTGTGCGTGGACACGCATTTATTCACACATACATGTGGAGGCTAGAAGACAACCTTTGGACGCCATTCCTCAGGCACTGCCCTTGGTGTTTGAGACGTCGTCTCTTCAAGCCCCGGAACTCCCTGATTAGGCTAGGCTGACTGGCCCAGCAAGCCCCAGGGGTCCCACCTGTCTCCCTAGAAAAAGGAAGATCATCAGGAAGAAATAATTACGCCCACTTCTGACACTAACAGCAAAATCCCAAGACTCTAAAGCCAGAGCAGTCAAGCTGTGTGGAGGCAGAAGAGACGGCTGAGCTCCTAAAACCAGCTAGGAAACACACAAAAGGGACGCATCTGATGAGCCGGCATGCCTGCCATGATCCTCAGACAAGGAGAAGACAAAAGAGACCACCAGACTCCAGGCATTGGTGATTTCACAGGCTGGGCAACAGAGGGTACTCAGAGAGCCTCTTCCAGGGACAGGCACGGCCAGAGAGAGGGTGGAGGGAGGATCCCTGGAGGTGGCTAAATCAGCCCCCTGTGCCCATGCAGCCTACCCATCACCCCAGCTGGAAATCTCATTGCAGGTTAACTAGGTGCTCCCAGCCAGCAGCCTGCACACACCCTGGCGATCGCCACAACCGGAGTGATGCTTTAAGATGCAACATTCACTGCAGGGGCGTGGTGCAACCACAAGTAGCGTGCACGCACACCCACACCCACACCCACACCCACACCCACAGCAGAATCAGCACACAGAGCAGGAAATAGTGTGGAAGAGCCCCCCCCCGCCCCCCCCGCACCTGCCTTTGGTTGATGGCTGCTGTTGATCACCAATAGCACAGAAGCCGGAGTCACCCAGAAGACAAGTCTCTAGCATGCCCATGAGAGACTGTCAATTAGGTTAATTGGAGTGGAAAGCCCACCCTAACTGTAGGTGGCGCTGCACCAAGGGCTTAGGTCCCAGACAATGAAAGAGAGCAAGCTGAGACCAGCGTTTATATCTCTCGGCTTCCCGGTTACAGATAAAATGCAACTGGTCACCCCGGGCTCCTGTCTCATGCCTGCCTGCCCTTACAGGCTATGTCTCAATCTGAACCAAGATAAACCACGTCTCCCTTTCTTGACTTGTGTTTATTGGCTATCTTGTCACAGGAATGAATAAAGTAACTCAATCCCTGCACCCTGACATTCAGATTGAAACGGTTCCTGTAGACCTAGAGCCGCTAACTGTGGGACAGGAGTCTGAATCTCAAGTTCTCTGTGCCAACGTAAGGAATTCAGTTGGCTCAGCTCAGATGGAGGACGTTCTTGTGCCCTCATGTGTGACAGACTGGAGCCATGTAGCCTGCTCCCTCCTCCCTGAGGATTGTGGGACACACGCTCTGATTGCAACTCTAGATCCCATTTCCGGAAGCTTCCTCACTGCTTGCTGAAGTCACCAGTGATCCTGCCCTGTCAAATCTGGTTATCACCTCTGTTTCCTCCCCTGGCTTGGCAGAAGCACTGGGCGTGGTTAACCTGCCTCTTCCTTCATACTCTCGCCTCTCCATCCTGTGACATCGCCCTTGCCTGGCTGGTTTTCCCAGGTGCTCTCTCAGTCTCTTTTGATGGCGTTCCCTCCTCTGAGGAAGCATTTCATGTTGAATTTCGTTCTAGATCATTCCCACCAGGCCTCTCGACAGACCATCTTCAAATCCCGACACTTCCACAGTGAGTGTCACGCCGAAGAATGCAGTTCTTTCCACGACACCTTCATTTCTCTATCTAATCCAAACACCACGTAGCCAGAAGACAACGTCACCTCTGCCACATAATTTTTTTTTTCCCCAAGTGCAGTAAACGAACCCAACATTTATCCAAGGGTTAGAACTCAAAATGTAAGGACTCCTGAGTTGACACTGCCCCCCACCCCAAGAGCCAAAGACTGTCTAATCATAGGTCTTGGAGGAGAACCTATGACCACCACTTTGCTAAACCAGAATAATCCTTAACTACACTCCAAATATTTGTCCTTATACCCACAAATAAGTGTCATCCTCCCCCCCACCCATCAAGAAAACTTCTCCTTTCAACAGACAGAGACTATTGCAGAACACTACAACCAACCAAACACGGAGTTGTGGAACCCAGTAACCACGGATGCATCCACAAGCCAACTCCTGAATCCAAGGCTCAGGATTCACACTGTAGAAAAGGGGCCAGAAAGAATGTAAGAGCCAGAGATCAATGACGGCTGTGAAACTGCCTTGTCTAGTGACATCAGACGCTGCACCCACACAGTCTCACCACGACCACCTAAACATGACCTGGACAAGGTCAGCAGCGATCGACATTGCAAGTGGGTGGTGGAGAGACCCTGAGGCCTCAACCCCACACAAAGAGCTACAGGAAACGAAGGGATGCTGAGCGCAGGAGAAACAGTCGTCCCCAGGGAAGAGCACACAAATGGGTTATATCCAATACCAAATGGTCAACCCTGGAAATACACTTCCTTCCAGATTTTCTGCATTCGGCCGCTCCCCTCCGCTGACCCACACGACCCATCTCCATCACGTCACATCATTCTAAATCATCTTATTAATTAACTGATCCTTTTCCACCGTGTCCCAGCAGAATGCAAACTGTGAGAGTGGGAATTTTGTGTCCCTCCACACCCACCACAGAATCAGGAATTCGGAAAATACATATAATTAAAATTTACACCATAAATTTATAGTATACTTATTATATATTTATAGTATAGCTAGAGAAAGTGTGTCTGCTCCCACAGTAAACGCGGTTTCTAAGGATGGAAGAATCCACAGAGTTAGCGCAATAAGAAAACCTGCTTATGTCTAGATCTTCCAGCCACAAAGTGACACTGGGTGATCAGTGGCGTGCGACCTGGTCATCGACGTGCCCGTTGGGCCACATCCACAGCCGCCCTGGGACACAAACCTCCCGTTCTACAGGACAGGAGGACTGAGACCCAAGCGGGAGTGTGGCGTGCCCAAAGTCACATGGTGACAGAGCTGAAGTACAGCCAGGGACCCCGAGCACTGGAAAATGCAATAATGCATCCATTTCCTGCATCTTAACCAAGAACAGTCATTCGTTTGTTTGAGAGGGGGCCTCGTGTGCCCCAGGCCAGCCTCAAACTTACATTGTACCGAGATGAACTTGAACTTCCGACTGTCCTGTTCCCACTCCCCAGGGCTGGGATTGCAGGCCTGTGGCACCAGGCCCGACTCAATCAGATTTCTACATTGTGCAAATATTGGCTACCATTTTTTGCTTCACGATTTGTGAGATGTTGGTCATACTTCTGCTACATAAAATGCACGACCCAGTTGAATGTCCCCCATATTCTCCCAGGTTCCTGTGAAAGTCCCCTCTTCACATCTTTCCGGGGGACTACTATGAATTTTGTATCTCCATATCAAAAAAATTTTTTTTGATTTTTATTTATGTGTATGTCTGCCTGCATGTGAGAGTGAATGCTACACATGTGTGCAGATGCCCATGGAAGCCAGAAGAGGGCGCTGGATCTCCCAGGACTTAAGTTACCAGCAGTTGTAAGCCACCCAGTGTGGGTGCTGAGATCCAAACCCAGGTCCTCTGGAAGAGTCGCCAGTGCTCTTAACCACTGAGCCATCTCTCCAGCTCCAACCCATTTTTATTTGTGTGTGTGTGTGTGGTGTGTGTGTGTGTGTGTGTGTGTGTGTGTGTGCATCAGAGGACAACTCATGGGAGTTGGTTCTCTCCTTCCACCACGTGAGTCCAGGGATCACACTCACGTCAGGCCCGGCCTTTCCCAGTGCATGGAGGCATCTTCATATTTTCACACGATTACAACGCACATGTGCATCTAGAAACAGTGTGCGGGATCCTCTTGTGGTTTTTCAAACTTAATGCAAACACCATGAGGTCGCCGTCCACGCCCTGCACGCTGCTGTTGCATGTCTGAGGCTGCACTGTGTTGGGAAACGCGGTGTTGGTTCACTCACTGCGACATCTCAGATGCTGTGATGCATTTCTCTTTGCTGGTGACTGCTTCTCCCTCCATGTGTTTTGACGGTCACAACACTGCAGTGTTTGGGGGACACAGCCTCCTCGTGTCCCCATCAATGGTGCCCCCCCCCAGTACATTGCTGTCTTTGACAACCACAGTGTCTTCTGGCGTCTCCGGGGAGCTGGGCTGGGGAGGGGCGCCACTAGGCTGCAGCTTTACTAGACATTGCCAATTTGCTCTCTGAAAGTGCCTGCACCAATTTACACTCCCGCCCGCTTCAGTAACCTTCCCGCTGCGCCAAGCTGCTGCCGTATTCTGCTCTCGACTCCTTATAATTTATGAAAGGAAAACATAAAAGAAGCGCTGTTACCTTATTAAAACTCCAGCTTCCTTTCCCCTGCAGAAAGGACAGGAGAGAGGACGGTGATTGCACATTGGATTAGGGCCTGGCATGCATTCATCAACTTTATAGTAGCGCCGGCTTGGAATCCGGGTCTCCTGAGGGGGGAGAGCGGGGGGGCCACTGGAAACAAGAGACACTTTCAGCACGGCCTTCTCCAGGAACGCAGGGATAATTTACTCTAAGGTACAAAAACGTTTGCACTTCCAGCCTCCCTGGTTCCAATCAGGACATGAAGAAAAGTGCCAAGACACCAGAGAAGAAACCAGTTCTCACAAACCTTCCAGCCAAGGGTGTCTAATCAGCTGTGGGTATCTCATTATTGGTGAAAAAGAATGGAAGAATTTGCTCATTAGAGGTTGGGGTAGAAGGAAAAACTGTAAGGATCCTGCCGACGCCCCTCGATGAAGACTGACCAAAGAAAGCCTGGAGGGAGGTATAAAGAGGCCTGTTTGAATTGGAAGGCCTTTGCCTCCATTTGCTTCTTCATGTTTTTGAGCTCTGACTTGGATCCTAGAAATCACAGTCTCTTCCAGCATCGCCCCTGCGGTTGGAAAAATTGCACATTTCACTTGTAAAACAAACAATGGAAAGTTCCTTTTGAAGGGGAAAAAAAATATCTTATTAGCACAAGACCAAGCGCTGCAGAGGGAAGCAGGTCCCATCAGACAAAGCCACAAATTAAGATCACAAGACGCTGCTGAGCTCTGGGTGTGGGCTCTGTCTTTAAAACATCTTCCAGGAAGCTCCCCCTGGGGCAACCCTGTCACGGCCTGGTCTCCTGAGAGGGGGGCCTCCACAGCAAATCAGATCCAGAACTATTTAAAGGGAGCTTAGCATGCGTTCCCCAAGGCCAGGGAATTTATATAGATAGTTTGTTAAGGGGCTACGTGCAAAAGGATTTGTACAAGTAGGTGAGCATACCCAAGCACTCTTGATCAGAACCTGTGAGGTAATTGGAGTGTCTGGAGGGCTTTCCATGTTTACTTCAAAAGTGAGAAATTATTGAAATGAATGGGACAGCTATTCAGCTTGAGAAGTTAGAGGGAAGAAAAAGGAAGAAGAGCCGGCCGGGACGGTACACCGCCTGCTGAGCAAGCCTGGCAAACCGCATTTGGATCCAGAGAACTCACGCAAAAGGCTGGGAACGGTCACGTGGTCTTGTGACCTCAACACGATAGGGGGGTATGCTGACCCCTGGAGCTTGCTAGCCAGCAATGAGCCCATCAGTGAATGCCATGTTCAGTGAGAGACCCTGCCTCAAAAGATAAGGTCAAGAATGGTTGAGAAAAAGACACAGTGTCAACCCCTGGCCTTCAC